AGCACCAAAACAAAGTGCGGAGATAATCAAACACCGCCGAGTTCTCTTGTGCCAAGAAACAAATGATTCCGTTTTACTTGTCGCATTTCTTTCTCCTTGTCGTCCATCGGTTGTCCGTCCTGAGGGTTGTTGGGAGCGGGTCGTTTTCCAAGACGTCGCAGACGAAGACGACGGCGTTTCTTCTTTTTCTCGTAAAGAATTTCATTCTGAGGAAAACAAAGGAAGTTCACAAGATGATTGTTATGTTTAAAATATGAAAGAAGCTCATAAGTTCAGACACATGGCTGAATTTTCTCTCTTTCCTTCTGTATAAAACAGGAAGTGACATCACAACTAAAGGACTATCTGGTGGGGATATCAGGACACAAAAACTGACAACTAGAGATTCAAACAAATCTAGTTTCACATGGTTCAGACATTCTTACAATCTGGACCTCTTCTTGAGACAGTTAAAACAATCATTTGTCCTCGTTAGGAAGGGACAATTCATCCCATTCTTAGACACTTCCTTCATGGATCAACAGATCAAAACAGCTGTTGGTGTTTTATTTTTAAAAAAGTTACATTAAAAAGGAAACCTTTTTGTCTTTGTGCAATTTTCAAAAAAAGCTTAAACCATTTGGTAAACAAAATGGTCAAAAATTGCAGAGTGAAGTCAGCAGACTCAACAGATGCTTCAGACAGCATTACCAAAAACCTTGGGATTTAAATGAGGCTGGGCGTTCATATTGCGCAATTATCAAGCATGTGAGGCAAACTGACTTCGAAGTATCTAAATATTGGAACCAACGACCACATGAGGGCACCCCAAGACAAACTAGACCAAGCAAGGACCATTGTATTGTGTACTAAACCTTACAGAACTCCATGACATACCATCCGAACACAGGTATTGGGAGTTCACTAAAGTGTAATTTGGACTCTTTGATTGGGTAGAGAATCAAAAACTTTCACACCTTCATTTGGTTTGACTCATTTTCAACTGGACTTTTTGAAAGTGGATCTAACTGTCTGGAAAACAGCTAGTTGTTGAGGGTGGTATGGCCTGAAACAAGCAGCCATCTATGACCAGGACCAAAAACTGAAATTCATCCCTTCAGCTGAATTGTTTACAATCAAAATGGAGCAACACCAAATGTATTCATTCACTGGGTTTCTGTTTGTAATTTGGTGTCATTTGCTCCGTTTAATTTGTTGGATTGTCTATTTGCACCTCAGGCACCTGTAGGTGGACCACACCAAGAGTCAACCAGGACTTTAATCGAGATCAGAGTTCACTTGTTTGGTTTACACCAAAGTTCAAACCTGCCCCAGCYAAGCAGATTATCCAAGGAAACAAACTGGTTAATTTAACCAAACGAACCTGGTGTGAAAACACCCATTTCATCCAACACCGTGTCTCAATAACTGGCATCAYTTGGACTATGAATTCAGGATAGATGGGGGACATTAACTCCTGAGCAGAAACTGCAAACCAAACGACATGTACCAATGACTGAATGAGTGAGTCATGGCTCTGCTTTACCACAAAAAACCTTTAAGCACTCATATCAACAAAGGGCATGGACCAATCCTGCCAATGTTGTGGAGACATCTTTGTTTCCTGCCGGCATCAAGGTTGCAAAGGTCACTGGCATCCTGCAGGTTTTACCCCTTTTGGACAACACCCAGGTTCAGTCCCATCAAACAAGACAACACAAGTCCACACCCCACACATCTGTCTATGAGCTGCAGACATCACTTTGAGGTTCTCCCCTGGTCTATCCAACAAGGGGTCAACCATGTCCCAGAACCAATCTACCTGACCTTGAGTRCCAACAGCTGTGGACTGACATGCCCCAGTGACTGATCAACACTTGTATTTAGGCCAAAGGGAGGCCAGACCCTACTGACCAAGGACAAGCAGTGTGCTCGTCAGGTAATCCTTGTACATTTCCACAGGTACAGCTTCRTTTCAACCGTTCTGTTAGGCCATCTAACACTGACTCTTAGTGAGAGTACTATGAAACAAAAGTAGTGTTGTTGAAGAGTTTCATGATAAATGAATCTAACCAGCCATCCTCCGGTGATGATGAGAGCATTTTTGCCAGATCCAGGAAAGAAAGGCTCCGAAGGTTTCTTTTTGCCTGCCCGAGTCATTGATTGAGGGTTATTTCTTCTGTTGGCCTGACGAATCCTCAGTTTCTCACTGCGGAACAAAAAAGAAATAAGTTTTAAATTTGTGTTTGGTAATGAAATTAAAAATATCTACAGTCCAAAAAACTTTTACAGGATACCTGAGGTAAAAAACTTTATCCAGAATAAATTGCACTGGACTTACTTGACATCTTCTCCATAGTGAATCTGCATGTCGTCGGTCAGAAGTGAGCAGGAGAATCCAATGTTTTCTGCCGTTTCTGGTGATACATATGAAAACTTGAAATATTTTTTCTGTATTTTCTTTATATTTTAGGTGTGTCGACTATGATTCAGCACCCTTTGCAGTGAAGTAGAAGTTACCTTTCTTATCTCCAGTCAGGACCCAGATCTTGATGTCAGCCTTGGCCAGTTTGGCGATGGTCTCTGGAACACCGTCCTGCAGTTTATCTTCAATAGCAGTGGCTCCGATCATCTAAAATTCAACCATTTCACATTTTTTTTAAATTTATGAATAAACTCCAATCTTCTTTCTGAACTCTTGTCTTTTTTTAGCTTGGCAGTGATGGGCACGGTTATGCTAATCGGCTAACAGCAAATAGTGAAACAATTGTTTGTTTGGAGGATTAGCTCTTTTARTAACTTTGAAAACCATTAAAAAGGACCAAGTAGCTTCCGCTAAYTTGAGTTTTGTCAAATTTAAGTCTGCTAACAGCTAACTACCAAGCTAACGTCAACAGGCTTGTGTCAGTCYCGCCAGTCTTCAGCTCAAAGAACACAAAGACATGACAGACTGACGGTCATCTTAGAGATTAGCGATTAGCTGTGTTAGCTTCTGCTATTTCAATTTTTTGGCATGTTTAACAATTTAGCGATAGTGAAGCTATACTTAGTTAGCGGATTATAAGTTAGCAAAGCTTTTTTGCTAACTTTAAAAGTTTTTAGCAGAACAATTCGCTTCCGATAAATTTGTTTGACAACTAAGTACACTAACAGCTAACATGAACAGGTTTGCGTCAGTTCCACCAGTCTTCAGCTGGAAGGAGATGAAAACATAACGCAAACCGAGTGTCACTCATCTTAGCGGTTAGCTGTTAGTGTTAGCTTCCACTAGTTTTTACTTGTTTCACTGTTCAGCGTTAGCATCTGCGCTTATTTTACATATCGGACATTACATTTCAAGTTAGCAGATAAAGAATTAGCAAAGCTAACTTTTTGGTTAGCTTGGTATAAAACCTGTGCAATTGTTTTCCACCCACCATCAGGTTGGTCTCGATCTCCTCGTACACCCGGTCCAGGGCGGCGTCTCGGTCCATCATGTTCAACTGGGCATCTTTGTATTTCCTGGACCAGGCCTCGTACTCGCTCGCACCAATGTCTTTGTAGCACAAGCACAGAGTCCGCAGGGTCTCGTTGGCAAACACCTACAAACGAATAAGTTACAGGTTGTTTGGTTGTTCGATGGTGGGATTCCTACAGTGGAGGTCTAAAGGAGAAACGGTGCAACGTGAACTCACATCCAAAGCACTCTGGGTAGTATCCCTGTGCCTCGTGTTTGGGGACAGTCGTTCGTAGATGACGGTGTCGGCTCCTTTGCAGTACAGACGAATTCGGCCGTCCGGGAACTTCACTGAAGGAACGAGACAAAAAGGGTGGAGCTTTAGAGTCTTGGCTCTGGATTTACAAACAGATCCGTCGTCCCGTCGCAGGCAGACAGAGAAGATAAGACGTTTTTGCGTTCTTACAGATGATAGACATGCGCTTGCGGTCGGAGTTGAAGTCGATCAGCGCCAACATTTCGTAGGTCGTCTCGTTTCCCATTTCCGAGATGGTGATGGTGTCCTGCGTACGGGACAGGAACACAAATCCAAAATTCCTGGCTGCGGTCACAAGGGCGCCCTCGTCTGGAGACGCAGCCTGGTACACCAGATCGCCTAAAACAAAGTACAAAAACACGAATATTAACAGAAATTCATACGGATTTAAGTTTTTCTTTGAGTGGTTTCTCTTTTTTTTTTACCCCCATTGCTTTCCACCATGACAGTGTGACAGAGGGAGAGCAGTTTGAAGAACTCCATGGCGTCTTTGTCCTTCTTAGATTTTACGTTTGCAACCAGGAAGTGATCCACAAACGGGAACTTTTTGTCAGCTAGGCGGTTCCAACCCCAGTCCACAGGCTAACAGAAGCAGGAAAATAATTATTTTATTTTGAATCAATTAGACAGTTCAGCTTTTATTAAACAGCAGTTTGTTGTAGCTGTGATCAGTCGGTATCTTAGTTTTATCTACTGCAGGTAAGATACTGCATCTATCAGCTCCTTAATAAAACTTTATCAAACATTTATCTAAGAATTTAAAATACAGCTGATAAAAGCTTTATTCAAGCATCGAGTCCCATGTCTCCATTTATTTTGATATATTTTATTAAGTCATGACTTTTGTTTTACCTTTATTTTTTCCAGAGACACTCCTTCAGCAGTGGTTGGATCACCTGTGAGAATAAAAAATACAATTGGAACAAAACTACAGATCTGAAATATTAAATACAGCAAAACATCTGTAAACAAAAATCATAGTTTCTTTTCGGTTGTTTTATCAATCAAACTAAAAATTTGTGTTCAAAATGCAGCTCTTTTTATAGAAATGACAGATGAATTTCAAAAGTTAGTGTTAGCCAATAAGTTAGCAGTTAGCCACACAGCTGCGCAGAGCTAGCACCACAGTTAGCTGCACAGTTGGCAGATTTCTAGATAATTACAGAAAATATATCATTTTAAATCATTCAATCAAATAATTACATATCACCTAAAAGTTGTCACTTTGAAAATAACAACTTTTTTTTGTACGGTAACTCCAAAGCTTGTTTGTAAATCACTGCAGGTCAGTTCGTACAGCAGTGGTAAACAAACTGCAGAAAACTTTTGTGTTTTTATTCAATAAAAAAAGTTTACTAAATAAATGGGTACCGTAGCTGCGCCCTGCGATGGAGCACTTCTTGAACTGCATGATGTTCTGCGTCAGAGTTCCCGTCTTGTCAGAGAAGATGTACTGGATCTGACCCAGCTGCTCGTTCAGGGTCGTGGTTCGAGCCTGGGGGGGGGGGTCGGGTCAATCAAACATAAAAATAAGCATAGGTTTGATTTTAAAATAAAACCAAAGTATCATTGTGTGTTATCGAAGCTTTGCAGGTAGATATTTGGCACCTTAGCTGGCGTGTCTTTCTCTTGGTAAAACATCTGCAGGTCCCAGTTGATGAATTTACTCTGACCCAGACGGATCACCTCCACGCTGCACAAACAACAAACTATTTCACCTTGAAGGATCCAAAGAGACGTTTGACGTCAAAACAAACTAAATTTCACCGACCTGACGTAAAGTGAAATGGGAACCATGGTGTTGAGGACGATGATGTACCCCCAGAAGCTGAGGAAGCCCCTGTAGTCGGCTGACTGGTTTTTACCGTCATACAGATACCAGGCCTTGGAGCCGATGTCCTCCTGCCAGAATCTGTTTCCGATGGCCAAACCAGCCGAGATCAGGACCAGCATCGCAAAGATCTACTCAGACAGAAAGCTACATTATATTTCATGAGTTCAAAATAAAACTGGACAACATCCAGACAGCAAAGAGTCTTACTGTATAAACCATGTAGTTCATCAGCTCGTCGATTTTGGTCCTCTTGAATCTGGTTTTTCCCCCGTTTCTCATAATTTTAGTGTCGGCTCCTAAAACAACAAAACCCTCGATAATAAACAACTTCTTTTTAATCAATGAGTGAAACACACACAGCTAAACACTGCTGAAACTGAACGGATAGGTAAATGTAGCAAAAAGCTAATAGAATATCAAAAAAGTAAAAGTTGAAAAAAYGTAGCTAAAATCACCAAAACTAGCTAAATGTAGCAAAAACCTAAATAAAAGCTAATGGCAGCAGGATAGCTAAAAGTCGAGAACAATGTAACTAAAAACATGGAAAATTAACCAAAAGTAACTAAAGGCAAGATAAAACTAGCAAAAGGCTAGCCAAAAGCTAAAGGTAGCAGATTAAAAGCCAAAAGTAAATTGTAATGTAGCTAAAAATCCCCAAAAGACTAGCTTAAAGTAGCAAAATCCTTGATAAAACTAGCAAAGGAAAAGCTAAATGTACAAAAAAGCTAGCTAAAAAGGCATGAATATAACAAAAGGCTAGCTAAAAACTAATGGTTGCATTATAGTTAAAAGCCCAAAGTAGAAAAATTGTAGCTAAAATCACTGCAAGACAAGCTAAAAGTAGAAATAGGCTGGGTAAAATGTAAATGTAACAAAACAATCGTTAAAGCAAAAGAATGGCTAAATAGGCTAGCTAAAAGTATCCATTTAATCAATTTAATTCAAATGTATCTTAATAATCCCAAAGATAAATTAAATGAGCAAAACATCAACAAATAAGCTAAAAGCTTCAGGCTAGCTAAATTAATTTATTAACTGTTATTTAATGGGGTAAATCCACTGAAATCCTAGTTCTCTTTAGCAAAGACGTCTGTTCCTGAAGGCGGCCGAACATGCATGTATTTAAATTAAAAAACTAAAAAGGTAGCAAAAATACCAATAGTCAAACTACAAGCTAAATGTAGCAGAATAGCTAACAGCCAAAAATAAAAGAATAACAAAACAAACAGCCGAAATGATGCATGAAAGGCAAAACCTACTAAAAACTAGCAGTTATAGGCTTGATAAAAGTAGCCCAACAGTAGCTAAAAAGCCAGAAGCAGATCTGATTGAGCCCACTTGGTTCAGACCTGCAAAGATGACGAGTCCATGACAGACATCGGTGTTTCGGACCTTGCAGCCTCGCAGCAGCATGTTGTCCAGTTCTAACGGGTACCGCTCCTGGCCCCACTGCATGGTCCCGGTGAATTTATCCAGACGGTTGTTCGGCTCCTCGCAGTCGATCAGAGCTACGAGACAGAAGAAAGGGACCAACGTGAAGCTGGACCAAACCCTCGAGGACAAACCAAATGTCTTCTGGAAACAAATCCTAATCTAAAAGTAGGAAAAAAACTAGCTATAAGCTAAATGTACCAAATGACTAGCTAAAACCTAAAAGTAACAGAACAGCTAAATGCACTACTTTTAGCTGAAATTAGCAAAAATGGAACAGAACACTTGCTGAAAGATGCAGAACACTAGCTAAGAGGAACAGAACACTAGCTGATAGGAGCTGAACACTAGCTAAAATGAACAGAACACTAGCTGAAATTAGCAAAAATGGTAGCTAAAACCCAATGACTAAAAGTAAGAACTAAAAGCTAAGTGTACCAAAAGACCAGCTAAAGGCAACAAAATAGCTGAAAGGACAAAACAAATAAAAAGCTAAAATGTAAACATAAGGAAAGACTAGCTAAAAGCTAAAAAGCAGCGGAATAGCAGCTAAAAATCTTACTTATTGTTTTGTTATTTGGTGATTTTTTTCCCTCTGTTTATGTTTAACACATTCAAATAAAAACAAAGTAATTTTACCATTAAACTGAGCGAGTTGTTGCTCCTCCTGAAGTCTCTGATCCGTCACCCGAAGACCCATCCTGAACTTCAGGTTGGTCTCTCTACAAGAAACAAACAAAAAAAAACTTTCCAAATAAAAAACAACATTCATCATGAATCTAAAATACATCAGAAAGTTTTTAATCATTGGGCTTTAAAAAGCACTAAAAATAAATAAACAGTTTTTACCCGTCGAGTTCGGCTGTTTCTACGTAACACAAGCTGTTAGGGTTGGAGCTGGATAACAACAGGATGTCAGCCTAAAAAAACAAACAAACAAAAAAACAAAAACACGTTTAAGTTTAGTCTGTTAACGGCTGTAGCCTTTAGCAACACATGCAAACTTAAGTACATGGTACAAACCGGCACAGAGCTGGTAAGAATCTTATTTTAGCTGATTTAATGACTCCAAATTCTTCAACTTCACCTTAAACAACAGCTGATGGTTAAAACTGGGGACACATTTGGTCCAATGGGACAAAGATCACAAACTCGTCAGAACTGGTTTCTGATTGGATAAATTTGGTGGATCCCTGAAACTCAACCTGACTGGTAATTAGCCTCCCGGATGTCATTGTTCCAAAAGTCGAAAAAAAAAAAAAAAAAAAAAATCAAGAAATGGACCAATTTCAATGAAAGGAGGTCAGACATCAGTCTGAAGCTTGTTGGTTGTAAAAAAGGCTGTCTCAATTCATGGGTTGCAGCCAACGTCGGCCACTTCTGTCACTGCCCCGCGCCGAAGGCTGTCCCAAATCGTAGACGCCTACACATGCCGCTGACAAAACAWCTAAAATATCAACTGTATCCGAGTATCCTACGTGGCCGACGGCCCATAGACTGTGGCCAACGTCGGCTGCAACCCCTGAATTGAGACACAACCGAAAAGTCTGACCTCAGCTAAACATTAGCATAGCATTGCTAACAAAAAACACTGCATGACAGAACAGTAGGTGCGTTTCCATTGCAAATGTGCGCAAAATTTTGTTGATATTCTGTTAATGTTGAAAAAACAGTTTCGCATCTGCGGTGTTTCCATTAAGTAAGAAATGCTGTTAAAGTGACGCGTGAATACGTTTGTTCTCGTGATAAGTCATTACAAACATGGCAGCAATGGATGTAAACACGTAGCATGTTGCTACCACGACACTAGCGCTCATCATCAGCCATCAGAGGAGACGTCGACATCTTATCGAGGCTTTTGAGGGACAAGCCCCTTATACCTGGGAGCGGCTACGTATGCTGTGTTTTTGGGAAATTGTAGTCGATGAATTTACTACTTTCTTTTACTACATCGGTGATTTTACTACTACTTCTACTTCCCGTTATCTTCTTCTTCGTCATCTTCGCCAGTAGAAACATCCGGTTGTTGATCATGTGACTCCGGTGATGCGAAAAAAGTGTTTCCATTTAAGTTTTGCGAAATACAACGTCCGAAAAACCACCTCATCCTACCGCTGAAAAACCATTTTGTTGAAAAACGTAAGTTTTTTCGAAATTGACGTGTTACCATTAAGCATGGTCTTTGGAAACGCAGCTTCTGTTACACCAAGCCAATGTTGTTAGCAATGCAATGTTATTTGTTGTTAGCATTGCTATGCTAATGTTTAAACAGAATAGTCATAGATCAATGATCAGTTACAGTAGACTGTACTGTATAACTTCAGCCAATTATTTATTAATATCCTGATGTTTACTGCGCTGTAAATCTTTGTCCTGACTCACTCACCAAGAATTCAAGATCAAGTTTTAAACCAGAAACAGGAAGTTGAACAAAGAAAGATTCCTTAGGGAAAAAAAAMAAATCCTACTGGAATAAAGTCGTTTTTCTTGAGGCGAACCACATCTCCAACCTGGATGTTCATCCATTTTGATTGTTGAAACCTGAACCGGTACATATAAACTCATCAGTTTTCAGGTCAAAACCAGCAACAAAACCAACCAAACTCTCAGCAACGTCTTCTGACCTTCCATTTAGAAGAACCTCACACTTCCTGTTGTTGATTTCTTTGTCCATCCTGTGTCGTGCCTGGGATTGGAAATAAATAAGAATAAGAAAACTTCTCATATGGGATGGGTGCCCTGCATTATACAACAGAATAGAGATGTTTCGCTTATGGAACCGTCTCACTCAGCTGCCAGACATCAGGCTGACCAAAATTTTTTTCTTTTTTTTAGTGGGACTCTTCTAATAATTATCCTAGGGCAAAGGAATTTGCTACATTGTTAACTACTTCTGATGTAAACTACATTATTTAAATAAACTGCAGTGCCATTTAAAACTATTTTAAAAACATATTTTTAATGACTTCAAAAAACAAAAACAATGGAAACAGGACATTTGTAGAAAACCTAAATTGAGAAGTTCCATTCAGTTTAAGGAAGAATATTGTACCGAACTTTATGTAAAATTAAATCTATCCCGAAAACAACGGTCCCTTTGTGCTCAGATCAGAACACGTAGCCTGCCCCAGGCAGTGGAAGTGGGTAGGTATAAAGGTCTCCCTGAAGAGGAGACAGTTTGTGTTCTTTGTGATCTCAATGTAGTGGAAGATGATTAGCATTTTATTCTCTGTCCTTTTCTCCGTTTGAATGTATAAATAGACATAATGCAGATGTACAGGGGTTAGACAATGAAACACCTGGTTTTAGACCATAACATTCTTTCAGACAGCTTCCTGTTGCGTCCACAGTTAATCCTGTTGGATGTGGTTGGTCCTTCTTGGTGGGATGCTGACATTACCCTGGATACTGTGCCTCTTGATACATCCCAAAGACTTGCTGTCTTGGTCACAGATGCACCAACAAGACGTGCACCAACAATTTGTCCTCTTTTGAACTCTGGTATGTCACCCATAATGCTGTGTGCATTGTAATATTTTGAGCCAAACTGTGCTCTTACCCTGCTAATTGAACCTTCACACTCTGCTCTTACTGGTGCAACGTGCAGTTAATGAAGATTGGCCACCAGGCTGGTCCAATTTAGCCATGAAACCTCCCACACTAAAATGACAGCTGTTTCAGTTTCACTGTCCAACCCCTGTATTTTGGTTGTGTGAGGAAAAGAATTTAAGTTGGATTTATGATAGGGAAATGTTTTCATTTGTTGCTTTTTTGTTTATAAAGCTGTGGAAAGAAGACAGCATGCTCTATACTGGATGAGTTTCCGATTGTGGTAATGATATTTTTTTGTGGGGCTTGTGATATGAATGTAGCCATCCTGTTATGTGTGGAGTGTCTTTATAAGCCATGAGGGCTGGGCACCAGAAGGTGCGTGACACTTACACAACACAGTCAGTGTTCCTGTTTCACTGTCAACACTGTCACTGCCTGTCAGTAAACTCCATCATTTAAGACCTCACCAGATCGTCCACSAGGTCTTTGATGGCAGTGATTCCCAACACGATGACCAGGGGGATCAGGGTGGTGTACCACGGCAGAGTGGAAATGTCTGGAATGACCTGAAACATACAAACAATAAAATATTCATCGGCCATTATTGGTGCTTTGTGTTCCGTACGGTAAACAAACGTTGCGTCAGACAAACCTGTAAGATGAGCAGAGCCAGGAAGTAGATGTTGGCCACTCTCTTGAACTGCTCGTACAGGTTCAGCGGCAGGAAGGTGATGACGTTGTATTTGTATGTCTTGATGGCATTGCTCTGGAAACACGACGTGGTGCGACATTAAAAAACAAACATTCAGGATTAAAGAACATCCAAATGATCAGAGTAAACCAAGGCAACAGGAATTCTTTGCTTCTCAAACAGAAAAGACCAACAAAGACCCCAATGACCAATTGATGATGGCGTTTTCCTGGGGTAAAGACGGGTTTGGTTATCAGACCAAAGTGTTTACGAAAGAGAAACAAATAGAACAAAAAAACACATCCAGTTTGAAAAGAACAGATGGTGAGTCACAATGCAAATGTTCGAATCGCGTGAAATGGATCGAAACGAGGACTGAAAGTCATTACTCCCAAAGTAACACAAAAAAACAGATTAAGGTTTCAGAGGCACACAGGGACAAATACCTTATTATTTTTTATTTATTTACTGTTATTTATCCAGGCAAATCCCACTGAAATCACAGATCTTTTTCAAGGGAGGCCTGGGCCTGAAGGAAACCTATAGTACATGTTTTTGGTCTGTGGGGGAAACCGGAGTACCTGGAGAAAACCCACGAATACACGAGGAGAACACGCAAACTCCACACAGGATTGAACCCAGGACCTTCTTTCTGTGAGTCATTGGTGCTAACCACTGAGCCATCGTGCTGCCCATCTTCATGTCTCCTGGTCTGATAAAGCTAAAATTCAACTTTTTGGCCATAATGTTCCCAACTGTGATGTACGGTGGAGGTGGCATCATTTGTACGGTGTTTTACTGCAGGAGGAACTAGTGGGCTTCAAAAAATGTTTAAATATTGAAGTCAGACAGGAAGTTAAAGCTTAGACGCAAATGTTTTTTTACTTTTAGCCTAAGGCATTTTGCACTACACTATCAAAAAACTGCTTCAGAAAATATTCGTAAACTTGTGATTTTGTATAAATAATAAAAGTGTTGTTACGCAGGCATTTAATAAAAACTAAATTGAGAATCCAAACCGACCTAAAACAGAAATTTATTCTCATTCAGATGGTTTTTTTAAATGGTGTTAATATGGTTTGTTTTCACTGGACGGTTTGTTCACATGCTTTAAGACGGTGCTCAAAGAGTCGCCTGGAGCTAAAGAGGTGAAGTCCTGCAGTGTGAAATCTGTTTTTTCTGTTTTAATGAGAAGAAAATCCCAACTCCACGTTTGTCTTAAAGACGTGTGTCATTTCTGAGAAGTGCTTTAAAATTTCCACCGAAGAATCTGCAAATTCAAATAAGTTTGCTCAGTAACCAAATGACCAATTTTACTAGATAGCACGAAAAGCTAACCCTTTAGCATACAGGATATATATTCAGTACTGTCAAAGCTAATGATGTCTAACAGCAGGGAAACTGACTGGAACCACATTTATCTCGTTTTTGTCAAGAATTTTGTAATTACTTCCACTGTTCAAGACACTAGACACACAATAGTAACCTGGAAGTTGAAGCTGTTTAAAGCTCCGCCCCCTCCACGTAAACAAACAGGACTTTTAACGTAAAACCCCATACCCTGAGTACACAGACTGTTACAAAATACAACATGGCTGCTCCCCGTAACCAGATCTGTGGCTTTCATTTCAATCACCAAAAGGAGGCGGGGAGACACTTCGTCCATGATCTTTGGGTAATGTTTGGGACAAGATACACAAATGTAGGACCATGTGATATTAGGTACACATGATGATATTGTTACAACTGTTGTTCAGGCTCTTTAAACTGACGCTGGTTCTAAAAAAATAAATGACGATTAAACTGGAGTGGGGCAAGTACAGCCTGGCAGCCCACCAGGATAATAATACACTGGGGGAAACACTGGCTGAAATTTTCAGGAAGAATAAAAAGCTAAAACTCAGTTGTTAAAGCCTAAAGGAGATAGAACACTAGCTAAAAGCCAACAGGTGCAAAAGTAAAAGTAGCAAAATGTGAGCCAAAGCTAGCAAAGGGCCAGTTCAATGTAGCAAAATATTAGCTAAAAGCTAAAATAAGGCAGAGCTAAAAGATAAAAGCACAAACCTGAAGATAAAAGCTAAAAATAAAAGTCAGAAAAAAATGCAGCTAAATGCAGCAGCTAAACTAAGACACAGTAAAAGTTAAAAGTGGCAATAAATTATCTAAAATCAAAAAATAGGAATAGGCAAGCTACATGTATCAAAAGTAAACTAGCACGTAAAGTAGCAAAAAGCTAAAAGTAGCAATTCTAACTAAAAGTATCAGAATGGGAGCTAAAAGCTAAAGGCGGCACAATGAAACAGAAGTACTGTTGAAACTACAGATGAAATTTAGCGGTTATGCTAATTCTGGCACATTTATTTTCACAGAATATTGATTAATGTGCATTGTCTTTTTAAATAAATAAAATGAAATGAAAGTACAGCCATTAGCCAAAGCAGATTTTTAACTGAAACATTTTCAGGGGAACTGAATCTGTTTATGTACAGTATTTCAATGGGAAAAATGTTGATAAAGTTAAATATTCTTAAAAGTATAAAAACCACAAAAAGCCCAACTTTATAGCACCTCTCTCTTAAATAAGCCAAACATTAGTACAAAATATGAACAAGTTTAGTTGCAAAATAAAAAAAAGAAAGATGTATGGAAAAATAATGTTAATGCTGACTCAGAGTTCAAACAAGGACTGGATCTGGACTGAACAGCATTAAAAACAACCCTGAGACATCTGTCCTCAGGTCTCCTGCCGTGTCTAATGTGTCTCCTAGTGATAAAAGTCGGTTCAACTGGATGATCAGGTTTCAGCTTCCACAAAGGCCATTAGACCCAGCCTCAGACATGAAACACTCCTGTTCTACAGCTGTTGAAAAACTTGAAACACGCCACTCAGCTGGGGGGGTCCAGCCAGAGTCCTGACTAATCTAATCTCTGGTCTGAATCTCTTCTGAACTCACTGCAGTCCGTTAGTTTCACAGGTTCTGGTCTGAAGGTTTGTGAGGAGCTGAACTTACGGAGTATCGGCTCTTCTTTATGCACAGAAAGATCTTTTTCTGGAACTCGGGCAGCTGATGGTACGCTCTGTCGTTCGCCTTCACCTTCCAACCGACCTCTGAAAAACATCAGTCAACAAACGATGGTGACAAACATCAGTCAACAAACGATGGTGACAAACATCAGTCAACAAACGATGGTGACAAACATCAGTCAACAAACGATGGTGACAAACATCAGTCAACCAACGATGGTGACAAACATCAGTCAACCAACGATGGTGACAAACATCAGTCAACCAACGATGGTGACAAACATCAGTCAACAAACGATGGTGACAAACATCGAACAAACGATGGTGACAAACATCGAACAAACGATGGTGAAAAACATCGAACAAACGATGGTGAAAAACATCAGTGAACAAAAGATGGTGAAAAACATCAGTGAACAAAAGATGGTGAAAAACATCAGTGAACAAAAGATGGTGAAAAACATCAGTGAACAAAAGATGGTGAAAAACATCAGTGAACAAATGATGGTGTACATGAACACATGAAGATCACTCTCAAGTTAACTTGAGCTCAGATCTTAAGACAGAAAGGATCTGAATAAAAAGAACAAACCATGAGGTCTTGTTTCCACGGGGGGCTGAGGGGCTTGTGGCGGCCTCTCATCTTCACTTTCCGAGGTCTCGTCCAGCTCGTCGTCGGTCTCATCGTCGCTGTACGGCATGACCTCATCGTTGGGTCCCAGGGAGCCCTGGGAGTCCACACGCGGCCGATTCATCTTGGCGCCTCCGGTTTCTGAGAAATATAAAATATAGAAATTCATCAACCAATCTCCATCTTATTTTATAGATCTTATTGCTCCATATTTTCCTAACAGAGCACTTCGCTCTATGACTGCAGGTTTACTTGTGGTTCCTAGAGTTTCTAAAATGGGAGGCAGAGCTTTCAGTTATCAAGTTTCAACTTCCAGTTTCTGTCTGTGAGGCTGACACTCTGGCTACTTTAAGATTTAAGACTTTCTTTTCTGATAAATCCTACAGTTAGGGCTGGTTTGGGTTTCCTGAGTTATCCTTTAGTTCTGCTGCTATAAGCTTAGGCTACTGGAGGACAACTGACCACACTACCTCACTCTGCTGTTTTCTTTACTTGCTCTACTCTCCATGTTTGAAAACTTCTATCATCAACATGCTTTTCTTAGTCTTTCACCCCATAGAAACTACACCTGGACCACAGGAACCACGACTGGACCACAGGAACTACACCTGGACCACAGGAACTACACTTGGACCACAGGAACTACACCTGGACCACAGGAACTACACCTGGACCACAGGAACTACACCTGGACCACAGGAACCACGAACGGACCACAGGAATGATGCATGTTCACGATTGGATTTGTAATTATTTATACCATTAACATCTAATTATTTGTCTTTCACCCCATAGAAACCATACCTGGACCATAAGACCCTGCTTAAACTATAGAACCATACCTG